GGATCTTTTACAGTTTCCAGGACGCATCAGACTCCTTTGTTTAATTGTGGTGTTTTCTCATTTCTGAGTGGCAGCCATGGTAATTGTGGTGGCTGTGGTGGGCCACCCACATTGATGTTTTTGGCATGCTCCTTGGTGCTGTCAGTGTGCCCAATTGTGGGGAATGTCTGGTCCCCAGCTCCATATCTCAGGTCCCTGGGTGGGCCCCAAGGCGCTGGTGCGGTGTGCCTGGTTGTGTCAACCCTGAATCTCTATCTCCATAGTATATGCACACACATGTACACACGTGCACACGTGCACATACACACACGCATAGACACATTTATTGCATACATCCATTCATTCACTTAACAGATACACCCTAGAAACCAGGAGCTGGGGACACAGGCATACCAGGGAACAACACGAATCCCTGTCCCCCTTAAGTACACATTCTAAGGGGAGAGACAGACAATGAAGAAGATAATTAAAGGAGTTCTGCACACAGAAGATCTTGTCCTCCCTCTGAGTAGGATAGAGGCCACCAGTGGGCTTTGTGCACAGGAATGACGGGAGCCCCTGGCTCTGAGTGGGGAGCGGACCCCGGGGGCCAAGTGTGGACACAGGAATCTGTTGGGAAGCTACTGCAATGACCCAGGTCCCCATGGCAACATGCATGCACATGACTCCCAGGGTGCCCAGAGCCCACCTGGGATGGCCTCTGCACAGTGAGAGTCCCAGAGGTTTTAAATTTCTTCCTTGAGCTTTTTTGCAGTTTCTAAACCTTTGACATTGACCTATACCATGAGTTCATATAATTATACTTTAAAAAATCTCATTCACCTTTCAGATTCCAATTCAAACAATGCCCATCTTGGGAAACCTGCCTGGACTCCCACCAGTCCCAGCAGCTAACACCCTCTTTGGTGACCGCCCAAGGCTCAGCCCATCTGGAATTAGGAGGAGTCGGTCTTTCCACCCTGGCCAGGCTGGAAGCCCATTCCCAATGGCAGTGGCCTCCCAGGGATACACATAAAGAGGCCCCCAAATCCTTTCAAGTCAGTGGGAAATGAGCTCTGCTTCTGGGCAGGGGGGTGTCCCCAGGATCCGTCCCTGCCTCACAGACCAGCATCTGGGACTATGAAAAGCAGGCTCCTCTGTCCACTCTCATGTTTGCCTGTTCCCCCAAGACCCTCACACACCAAGGAAGCTCTCGGAAGTCTTGAGCCCAGAAGCCCTTTTGTCCAGGGAGCTCCGTGGAGGGGCCGTCATGGGAGTTTGGGGAGCCCAGGTGGGCAGGGCACACCAGCTATCACCTGTCCTGGGCTTCCTCCTAAGAAAGTGTGTGTATTGGGGGCAGGAATGAGAATTCTATAGCATTAGACCAAGTTGGTACATTTTGAAAAGAGCCCTGCTCCCTGGTCCTTGGGTCTGCCTGGATCCCAGCTTGGCTCTGGCCTCCCCTGGTCACTCAGAGCTCAGGAGAAGATGCCCCTAGATACCAGGCCCCAACCAAGGGCGACTCCATCTTCCCAGGCCTGGGCCTTGTCCCCATCCACCGCCCCCAAGAAGCCAAACAGTCCTTGCCTGCCTCCCTGGGCTGTGGCCCTGGGGCCCCAGACTGCTGCTCAGTAGTACCCTCTGCCCCCAGACCATAGGTGGCCAAGGCCTGCCCTTCCTAGTGCCCCCACATCAGGGTCAGGAGAGAGAAGAAGGCCCCAGGGGGAGGAAAGTGCACTGCAGATGAAGGGAGGTCAGGAAGAAGATGACTGGGGGGATGGCTGAGTCTTGCAGCCTCTGGTGGGGTCAGCAGATGCCATCGACCCAAGGTCCCCTCCCGCCTTGCTCACCCGCTGTGCTCACTCTGCTGCTGCCCAGGAGGTGGCACTGTCTCCTGAGTCCTGGGCCAGGAGCGCTTGAGCCTCTCCTGCCCTCCCCATCCCTGGGGGTGGGAGCAGAACAGGTCCCCAGGGCCTCCTTATCTCCCCGGAAAAATTCACTCCGCTTCTGCAGGCTGCCTTGTGACACCACCCTGGGCGCCACCCCTGCCGCCCTGCCCGCCTTTGGCTGCACCTGCTTCTCCCCTGGGTCCTCCAGCTCCTGGGCTGGCAGCCAGGGCACACTCCCCAAGCCACTCGGGGAGCCAGGGCCACGCTACTGCGCACTGTGTCCACTGCCCGGCTGTCCAGCCTCCCTCCCGGCCTCCACACAGCCGCTGCAGGCGACCTCCTAGGAAGCAGCCAGCTGAACCCAGCCCGCCCCTGCCTGAGCCCCCCAAAGTCCCCAAGGACCAGTCCTCCCACCAGGCAGCGCTGCTGACCCCTTTAGCCTCATTCAGCTCCCCCCACCTCGCCCTCCCCCACATCGTATCTGTGCCCTT